CATTCATTTAGCAGATGCTTTTGCTACACGCAACACTTGGCCACACTAAAGTGAGAGATACAAAGTATCTTTAAATGCATGAAAAATGCAATAATATGACACCAATACCTATTTTAAGGAGGCTGGTAAAAGTTACTTTTACAAATTACAAACAACTAAATTAACTAATTATGTTACATAGTTCATTAACATAAAATGAGGAGCGCCAGTGTGTAGGTGAGGTATATTGAATCGCTGACACGAGAGAATAGTTTAGTCAAGCCTTTAACGGCGACGGCCAACACAACAATAACAAGAAGCCCCAAGCGCGAGCTCCGCCCAGGCCAACGTGGCCACGAACAACGTCAGGAGTCACGTCACGATCCACGACACACTTCACATACTGGCGGAGCAAGTTTGCACAACTTTTTCTCTTCACTAGCAGACTGAGATACTTTTGGTTATGCTTGACTGACTTGAAAGTGTTTTTTTATTTGTTTGTACCTGTTTGTACCTTGACATAGCAGTTTGTATGCAATGACTGTACTCTTTTATATATTGTTAATTATGATTATTGGATTAAAAAACAATTAAAAATGCTGAAATTATCCAAGGTGCAATGCAAAGACAAACATACAACATAACTGCACAACAACCATACTGTGATTGTTTATCAGATCCAGATGTTACCTGAGACAGGTGCATATCATGCTTGATTGCAAAGGCATCATTTTGTGAAATATCCTGATCCTTTTTTGCAGAGGAGTAATATTTGCCTTTATGGGACACAGGAATCCACACGACCTGTGGAAACAGGCAGGAGAGAAATGATACAAATTAAAAGAAAATGACAGCATAAACATTTATTAAACACTGATTTCTAAGACTCAGACATCAGCTTCTGTCAGGGGTTACAAATCTTGATATTTCTGTCAGTTCTAAATATTTTCACATGCTAACATTTTAGTATACATTAAATCTACAGTCTTGTGTAAAACTAAATTAAATTGGATAAACACGTCCATATTATCAGTCAAATTTTCATACAAATGATGTGATTCTCAAGATGCAGGAAAAAAAACTCCAAAACATTTTCACTCAGAAATTGCTAGTAAATTTCTCAGTGACATTTTATTTTGATTGTCCACTTTAGACATTCTACTAACTACAAGAAACTTTGTAAACCCTAACCCTAACAGTCTACTATTACTATAATGAGAGTTAGCTGACACGTATTGTCATAGTATAGAATGTCTAAAAGCGGACTACCAAAATAAAGTGCAACTAATTTCTCTAATAATTACAAATAAACTACATGTAACATGAATTAAACATCTATTTTTGAAGTAGAAAGACTGAAATTTCTTGTAAAACGTACTCCAATAATCTTCAACCTTTTTACACCGCAGCTAGCAAACAGCTTAATTTTAATATGATTTTGACTCAAAAGTTGCTTGTTTTTCTTAGTCTTGTAACAAAAGACATTTCAATATATATGTACTGGTGCAACATACATGAACAAATTAATTTTTTATTTGTTTAGAGACTCAAGCTGAAATATCTTTATGTCAGTGGCCGAATCAGCTTCCAAAACAGTGTCTGACACAGTGTCGGAACTTTATTGTTGTAGATTACAACTTTATCGTCTCGGTCACTATAGAGACTCTGAACATGTGGTCCGTTTCATTGGCAGCTCACTCGAGGGACATCTGCATGATGTTTGACAGATGCCGATTAAATAGTTTGTGGTTGACCAGAAAAATGTTGTGACATCTTTTTTTTTTTTTTTTCTTCTCATTAG